GCAGTAAAATCTTGGACTGTAATAAAAAGTGGTTGTTTGAATGTGTAATGTCACCACACATTTCCCAGTTCCTTCAAGCCATCTCATTTCTGACAATGATGACAACTGATATATATGTCACAGTTTGAATGTTAACACTTTTTTTTAGCTGAACTGAAAATGATATCTTGTTATTTGATGAGAGCTCACAGTGAAGATCCTGTCAGGGACGTGTTTTCACGATCTTAGCAGCTGCCTTTCTTTCCTTTCAATGTGATATATGTAACCTTTATGCTCAAATTTCATTGTTCATCATGCGCAAATATCGTCGCTTGAGATCGTTGCAAATATTCAATATTCCTTAAATAATATTAATATTTCCTTGTGTTCAATATTCTTTGAATAAAGAAGCAATCTATGCAATTCCAATCCGACGATTGAATACGCCCTCCGCTTTTTTCCCTTCAACACAAGAAATGTTGTTTAAGGAAATTTTAATAATTAGTAGATTCATTTGGAGCTAACAAGAAATAAATTAGAAAGGAAGGAAAGAAAGGGACAATTCTGTCAAGATATGTGCTAATTCCTAAAATTTTTCTTAACAATAGAATTCTCGCAGGAAACAAAGACAGTTATGTATGTTTAAGGTATGAGACGGGTACGTGTAGATGAACTGAGCTAAGGAATGATATCGGACTTCCATTAGACCTTTAGTGAATACAGTAAGCAAGAGCGACAATCAAACTCATTAGAAAAGAGCAAATTCCAACGAGGAATGATATAGTTCAAAAAATAATCAATGTAGATTATGATTATCATGATTACTCCAATGCATTATTCTTTTGTCTTTTGTCCAGCAGGCTAAATTTAAATTCCCTATTAGCACAATTCATAAATGAAATTACGACATACTTTTAATATTCCAAATAGTTTGCTAAATAATAAGGAATTCAGGTTATTCATATGGCTCCATTAGTGACTGTATTTCAGTCGTTGAAAATACTTCTATTAATTACTAATCTGAGGAGCTTCATGCTGCATTTATTCTACCTATCGCGACCAAACTAACTTATGTTAATGGAATGAAATCAGTGAAATCATGAAAAGATCGATACTAGTTGACACGCACAGAGCAGATAAGTCTGTTCCGTCCAAAAATGTTTTCGTAATACAGGACATGCTAGCTACTCCTTGGCTTTCTACTCCTGTAAATTATCTGAGGATTCGTTTTCCGAAATGTTATAGGAAATTAGGGACGACAAAGGGTGGAATAGAGGTGAATATTAACGGCTTCCAGCAAGATAATTAAGTAGTGAAGTTGAATGGCAAGAAACAAATCAAAAATTAGTCGAATGATTCAGTCAAAATCCTATCTGCTAAATATGTGATATACAGTAATAGTTAATGTATTAACGAATTAATCTAGAATCTCTTGATGGCATTGAAGACTAAAATATCGATTTTACCAAACACACTTTTCATTGTTAATTATTCTGTATTTCTAAAGACCAAATAAGTTACTTCAGGATATAAGTAATGCATGGAATACTTATGTAATATTTACCTTCTCAAAAACTAGAAAGTATGCACCGACAGTGTTCATATACTTCAAAAACAACCAGATAAAGAACCACCATATGTCGGTTTTAATTGCAAGTATTGCACCAAAGTTCTCAAATACCATTGAAGAAAGAGCCTTAGGTTATAAAAGGAATAGGGAGATGATGAATGCAATGCAGAAAATCGATAGGCAAACCTGGCAGGAGATGGTCTTCACAAATTCCATTTTTTTAAAGCAAACTGAAAATAGAAATTAACTTTTCAGAAATATTTCATTAAAAGAAAAAAAAAAACAAAAAGGGTGTAAGAATAAAAATAAGTTATTTCATTCCATAAAATTAGTCGCTTACTTTTTTTTCATATATTATATGATAATACAATTATCATTTCTCCTTCGATAATGCAAATCTTCAAAAATATGAACTCGAAAACCCCAAAAATCGAGAAATTAATCCTACAGGAAGACAGAAAATCTTTATTAACTTGAACTGTTACAAAAAATGGAAAAGAATGCGAAAAAACTTATGACAGCAAAGATTATGAGAAGATTTACATTACTAATGCTTATTTTGATTGATATGTTAGATTTTGTGGGGAAAAAATAGTGAGAAACGAAATTAAAATCTTGTCGACAACTTTCGTTCAATACTTCAAGAACGCCTCAAGCAAGTTCAACGACATAATGACTATCGATAATGCGAAATGATCTGCAAATTCATAGTTGCGAAGGGTTGACAGCAGAGGCTGTGTTTAGGCGATACCAAACATATCTAGGACAGATCAAACAGGTTACAAAAGACTAAAAAATAGGTTGCAGCAAATTGGATGCAAAATGAAACAAGCAGTGCCTCAGTGCCTTTTCCTGTTCTCTCTTCTGTCTTGAACTGTTGTTTGCCATGATTCGGTTCTGGAATTCTCAGTGGTGGTGTAATTATCTGTAATACAATAATCTTCATTATTCAAAAATTACTATTTTTTTCACAATTATTATCACGGATTGGAAACAAATAGTATTAAAACTCTTTTTTTTTTTTGCAGTAACTTTTGTTTTATTTAAAATTTGTTTAAATATTTTATATTTTCGTTCATATTTGTTGCTAAATTTGCTTTTATTTCTCTTACATATTTCAAAATCGATGTAAGGTGATCAAGAGATTTGGCACACTTCTTCTGAAATAAAATTGGAAATTTAATTTTGTCTCGAAACTTTGGGAAATCTTATTTAAAAAAAGCAAACTCTAAGCTGTCGTGGAATGTATTGACTGCCAGATATTTTATTTTGCCTCAAATTTGGGTAATTAAACCAACAAATCAACATTATAACAACGCGTAACGAAAGATATAATACAATTATAAAAACACTGAAATAATATCAAAAATCACCCCAAAATGTAGAATGAATAACCGTAATGGAGGATGGTTGGTTAGTTTATGTACAGAACTGAATTGACAACCGGATATCCGGCAGAGGACATTTGACTGATATGAAACAAAGATTACTAACAAGGGGTTTTTTACTGTGTGAGAAAAAGGAATTAGCATAATGGCTTAAATGATCTAGACATAGATTAGTCACAAATGCGGAATTATTTGGTGATTGACTTATCAGACATCTGGCAAAAAGTATTAGAATTTGAATGTAATTTAAATGTATTGTTTTTTACGACACAAGCTAACTAACGGCACTTGTCGAATTTATGTAGAATATCATTCCATATGCTTTAAAATCGATGATGAAGTGTTTGACATTTAAAGGATTCTCTGATGTGGAATTTAAACTGAGTCTTAAATGATGTGAATATTATTAGTTCGCTTATAACGAGGCAATCAAAAGCTTTGATATGTCACGAATCCCAATGGAACAAGAGGTTAGGTGTATAATGGGAATTTGCACAAATTTCACAATAGACCAGATACGATTACGGCTAATCTGCCGGAAGAGGATCACTCGTTAAACATTTCCCTTTCAGCTAACCTACTGAGATCATATCTTGATTATTAGCCTTCGCCTTTTCCTTGCCACTGTACAACCATCATATTATCATCTTATCTAATCGACATGCCATCACTCCAGTGTCTAAAATTCTTTGGCTACCTTTTTAGTCATGATCATTAATCATTGGTTTAATCATGATCATTAATCATTGGTATGCCTTAAACGATGCAGATGCACTAAATATATGGTAATAATATGAGAACGGAAGATTATATGGCACATTTAATTGAAAATAAAGGAACATTTTTTCTGACAAGGATTACTTGCTAGGTTTGTTTTTTAAAAAATTATTAATTTCTAAATATTGAAAGTAAGGTAGTTTTTTGATATGACATCATCATATCACTGTTTGCATTAACAGTTCTCGTTGTCAGATATTATTTCACAATTTGCTTATTTTGTTTATTGGGAAAGTTTGCATACAAAATGCTATTATGACAAGCCCCACGTGAATAGAAGAAAAATGACAGTTGATGGTTTCTGGATTGACTATCATAAGGTATACCTTCAGGTTTCATTTCCCACAACGACGCACAAAACCTTAGAAATAGTTTACTTTATTAGTTGTTCAATGAACTCATGTAATCGAAATTAATTAGGCTTATACTGTTTTCGTCATATACCTCAGGCACTGAACACCTGGAAATGCTCCTAAAGCTTTGAAAGCTGCGAAATTCTCACATTTCCTTATCCTTCCATATTAGTGCGATAAGTAATGTGAAGACTTGGCAATACATCATCCAGTCCCAGTTTTATGACAGATTAATCGATAACTATGAGATAACGAGTTAAATTTATTAATTTTTAATACTAATTTAACAAAACTAGGTCAAATTTCAGTGCTGCAATGTCAAAATTGTTCATGCACACTGCCTGATGTTATGCCATAGAAATTCACATAAGTGATCGAGAATGGTGTTACCATAGTAAGGTCCAGATTTCTGATTATATATATTGAAATTAGAAAAAACGTTTAATATTTATTCATTACTGTTAAGCCAAAAAGTCCAAGTTGTGTGCATCAAATTTAAGATGACGTGGAGTGGATGCATAAATCATAAGTCTGACACTGAGTAAAAACAAGCAAACAGCAATTGGATAAAGCTAAGTGTACCGACTCCATTTACCTGTAAAGCATTACTATGAGCTCTCTTTCATGCAGCACGACGAATATGTTATGCTGTACAGTTTCCTCTCTTAGCTTCTATTCGTATTACACTACCGATAAGCCTTTCCTCTATTACTTCGACACAATAAAATATCATTTTGTTACTGATTAATAACAAAAAGTCGAGTTTCTAACAATACTTCTGCGAATTCGCTTGCCTCACAACAGTTTTAAACGGCATTCTGCAGAAGCAAATAGCACAACAATAGCTGAAAGGAGAATTATTCAATGATTACTCAATTCAGCATAACTGTTCAGCTCACCTTAGAATGCAACAAACATCAGTTACTATAAATTTCAACTTCTCGACAGTCTTCTGATCGTCTCTTGTTTATTGTCGATATTTCGACTTAGTCCGACAATTTCTGGGTTCTTTTGTTGTCGCATCCAGTGCTATTAATTTAAATACAATTTAATATGTTCATCCACTTAATTTAATGTATTCGCTTATTATATTCATCAATCCAGTGAAACTCATTTTTTTTCATTCCCAAGTGTTAAAGAAGGATTCTTCAAAAAAAAGAGAAAAAGTCAAGAGAGAAATTTGACCTACTCCAATCAAGAATAGTACCTGAATGGTAGTGTATGTTACAGCAATGATAGCAACCAACACTAAGGCCTGCAGACATAGTGCCAAAAAAACTATTAAACACTTTACATCTTCAGTAATACATACCAGTTGATTTACTGTGGTAGACTTTCCTTCTGCCTACAGTGAGGGTCAAAGGTAAACAGATAATTTTAAAAATAAAGTGAAAAATTAAGCTCAATATTCTGCTACTTCTTAACACTAGCAACAATTTGTCATATTTGAACTTACGCTATCACTGACGTCTGTTAACGATTGTTCGTAAAGCGTTACGACTGACTTTGGTCGTATATCATTACTTTCTAGAAAATTTGCTCAAATAATCGAATAAATTTTTAAAAACTAACAAAAATAAAACCGAGTGCAAATCATTTTGAGGGTAAGGATGCAACATGTCAGATTAAATATGAAGTTTGACGATTGTAATCTGAGCTACTGAGGAGTCGTACCTGTTTCTATTTTCCATGACTTCTTTCTAAGCTTGAGCTTATTTGATGATTTTACAGCGTATATATCTCCAGAAAGTTCAAAGAGTCGTGATTCAGACTGTGTCGTCACTGATCGCCTCTTCCTTACTCTACTTTTAATTCTGTAATCAAAACTTCAGAATACTAGAAATTATTTGGAGCAAAATCAATATATCTAAAATATTCCTACAACAATATTTACAAATGTTATACTTTGTTTGTTGATTTTTTATGGAATTCATTTTGTTGCAACTATTTGGACCACAAAATTCGTCGCAAGGTATAGCATAAGCTTCATAGATAATATCGGCCTAAACATATTAACAGTGCAAAACAAATACCAAAACTCGCCAAAAATTTAAAAATTTGACACAATCTTGCAAAACTTTTAAATATACGAATTCTTGGGCAGATAATATCACCTCATCCGAGAAACCATTAAAGACGAGGGTTAACTGCAAATGATTCTTATCAATTCTATCAGTGTTTTTGAGCATTCCATTTGGAACAGCGCAGCTGCAAGGAAAAATAAAATTAATGACACGAGCGTGACCGAAAAAAATATAATTTTAGCAAAGTTGAAAAATCTTCTAACCCATCAGAATCGATGATTGTAAAAGTTCTGTCACTTTGCGTGTCACGAGCAAATAAATCAATTATCGAAAATTTGATTGGCTTCTAAAACGATGGGTAATAAAATAATGAAATCTTCAATTGAAACGTGGAAGTATCCGCATAAATTAAGATTATGCAACATTTAAAGATGTAATTCCATGTAGGCCAGAAATAAATGAATACATCATGTAATGTTAGTAAAAGATAGCCTTCATCACCGATCTGTACCACTTCTGCCGGATTTCTGTTTGCATCCATCACTTCCATTGTGTATCGGGGTTGAGTCACATAACTCCGTAACTGCGGTGATATTTGTATATTCTTCGCTCTGTAAATTGGCACATATATTTTTTTTTTCTCCAAACAATAGAATTACCAAGAGAAATTCATTAATATTTGAACGACGCAAATTAAAAATCGATAAAACTTGGGTGAATGTTAAATTCAGAACCAAATAATTTAGTAAGTAATAAATAAATGAAGTGAATTTACAATATCTGTTTTGTAATATTCCCATCTTCATTTCGAAGATGAAATGACAAATGTTGGTCAACCGGTGGAATCTCTAAATCATTATGTATGCGGCAAACAACCTAAAAATGAAGCCCATATTATCAAAAATATATTACTGAAAAAAGATTATATTACCAACAAAGGTAGTCCAAATATTTTTGTATGCTTCTAAAATCTAAGATGAGATTACTGATGTTGTAAAATCTTTATTCGGAATTGATGAAAATTTATAACTGTAAGAAAAATTTTCACATGGACTAACGGAAAAGTGGAAAATGTTGGATAGGTGCTGTTAATTGAACTTTATTATTGCAAAGTTAATATTGCTTGGCTGACCTTTAACAATTTGTCCTTGACAGTAATGAGTTCAGTGCTACCTTCCTTTAACATTACCAAATTTGAAAAAGTTAAATAAGGAAAAAGCTGAAAGTAATCATAGTAATGCTGTTTATTCTTTCATTCCTTTTATTTTCTTATTAATTCATTTATTTTTTTCTTTTTCTAAGAGAAAAATTATTGAAAATGAGTAGAAAAGACGTAGCAAAACTTAAAAAAAGACTTTGGAAAAAGAATTTCAAAATTAAAATATTGCGATTTGAAAGAAATTCTAAACAATAATAAAAACGAACAGCTTTTTGCATTCCGCATTCATTATACAAAATCTCAGCATCGAATTCGTATACATGAAAGAATCTTTTTTCGCAAGAAACTATTTTGTTGTTTTTCGTCATAAGTGTTCCAGAAAACATCTTTAATGATGCACCATGTATTTGCATCCGATCTGGTTTACACTTTAATTTGACTGCAATGAAAATTTTAGAAATTGTTTCCTGATCATATCTTCTTTGTGATTAATATCATTTACTCAGTTGTTTTAACTACTTCAGAATTTTCATATTTATAACAAAATCGAAACTGACACTGTATGCAGTCTTCTAGATCGCCAGATGACAAATTTAAATCATAATTCTGTAGAGGATTCTTGTTTAATGTTCGAGGCGAAGTATGACTCAGATAACACATGTGTGTTCCTCTGTGATATGTAAAATAGCGACAATTACCACTGTCCCACGTAAGACATAATTGCTCACATTCAATGGCGCTACTTACATTCGCGATACGCTCGTCAAAAATTTCTGTGAAACCGGATGATTGCATTCGGATGAACTGACACTGTGCAATATTCATAATAAGATCTAAAACAGAAAATATATTGAATCCATTAGAGAGAAAATATACTGAGTTAGGTATAAACTAAAGTAATGAAGACAAACGTAAATTTCTGATAAAACTGTTAAAAGAGGTCAAATTTGAGGTAATGTTAAAGCAGAGATTCGTTTCGCCATCGGTATAATATGTAATTATTTTCGTGCCATAATACAATATGTAGCTGTTAAACAACAAATTCGAACTTTCCGGAAAACAATTGTTTTCATATAAATCTACGCCCACACTACGTTTGAAGAATTTTTTTGCACTGTGAACATTTTGAATTGAAACATTCAAATAACGGCACTGTGCCACTTTTTCATTATACAAGACCGCCCTGCATTGTTTCCTGAAATTTAGTATAAGTTAAAGTGATTAAAATAGCCAGTAGCCTTTTTGTAAGAAGTAGTTTTTATAGTCAAAAAACTTCAGACAACTACATCACTGTTCAGAACTGCGTGACGTATCCGGCAGCATTCTGAATGATAATAAAATGAGGATAATACACCTTAATCAGGTTGTCACTGCTTTCAATCACTTAATTCTATTTTGCGGGAGAATCTCGGCTCAACAGCTATATGCCCGTCAGTGTCTCACGCTTTTATTCCACACCATAATGAACAACTGTCCACTTCATATTTAACGAAAAAAAGTCTTGATGGGAGCTATTTTTTATTGATGAAGGAATGTTATTCATTCCAAAACAGTTTACTTCTTCAACAATTATAAATAAGTTGACACCAAACGAGTATTTTAATTTAGAAGACGAACTCATTCAAACAAGAGGTCAAGCATTTCTCAAGCGAAATTTTTCCTTCAGCGTTCTCTGCAAACCTGTCGTCAATAAGATCCTTGTTTGGAAATTTTTCGAATGACCATGTAGTGCTATCAGTACACTGTGACGACAACTCTTAATTAAAGATTAGATTACATAAAGATTAAATTCATTATTTCATTTTTTTGTCAGTTTAAATGTAAAATGCAATAATTTACTTTGATTAAAGCAGAAAGATACTGCACTATAAATTACACTTTCTGGGATTGGCATTTCCGATTTATTTCCTTCTTTGGTTCGATCGATAAACAAGCATACCGGATCCTCTTGGACACCTAACAAGAAATTCACTGCAGTACATTTCTTCTGCTAAAATTTAATAACAAATTTTAAAGTCATAGAATATCGTTGAATTTGAAGATGATCTTCGAGCAATGGAAGTAAAATTTTGTTTTCAAAAAGAGCGGACCGAATAACATACTTTGGAGCACTGTTGAAGACAATCCTGAAAAGCGCTTGTTTGCAATTTTCCGATTATTTCACCCTCCATCAGGTGGCTTCGTTCGATAATGTATGTAATGAATGCACAATATGAAATGAGTCTTCTTTAACGCCATCAATAAAAATTCATTCAATTTGGTTCATAATCCAAACAAAACCAGAAATTGCAATCAACTGCCAAATATTTACTTCTGTACTAATAAAAACCAGCTTCATATCAGTTTCACAATTTACTTCCTTGAAGGTACAAATTTTTGAATAATAAACATTTTTTTTTTTTTTTTGTCTTTTTGATCTTCCACTCCCAGCAAATTCTCTTGAAACTTTTAGCTTCTTTAAAAATGATGCAATTTCCATCATAATTCATTTACCAAAAGTAGATCACATCTGATTTGTTTACTCTGAACTGCACTTTCGTGCAATCATCAAATTCCTCCTTCTTTATTATGTATCAAATGAAAAAGCGCAAGTCTTGTTGATCTTTTTTTGTCTATAATGTAAACAATCCTGTACACATCAAAAATTGACCAAATAAATTCAAAGATTTTAAATTCAAAGCTCTAACTCATGTATACTTTTCAGTTGTCACTGTGATTGAAATTACTTAAAAGTTACGCTACATAAAGATCAGTTTGTTGAACTAAATTCAAATTCAAAGATGTTCTATCAGTGACATAAATATCACTTATTAGAATACACCAGAAGAAAGTAGGATGTACCGTCAACTGAATCGAACTTTGTTATAGCTTCTTTGGTGCAAATAAAAGAAGATGCAAGGAATAATAATCGATCCATTGAATCAGCACACTGTAAGATTGTTTCAACCAATTTTTAATTAATTGCTTTTTCCAAACTCTTTAAACATTAGAAGTCCTGGAAGTGTAACATATTTGTTATGAGATGTTCTCACTAAAGAAGAGGATTTAATTGATCATGAGAATGATGTATATAATGAATGTAGAAAATCAGCGAAAATTCAGAGTTATATTTGCTTATATTTATACATATTTTATTTCTTCGTCTATTTAATCATTTAATACGAGAAATGTAAAAACCTCTTATAGTTATTTCTCTTTGTAGTAACTTTAATTTGTTAGTTTAAACACTGAAAATTAACCCTTACTAAAAGTGTACGATTCATTTTAGCAAGTCAAATTAAATCCTATCAACCAAAATTTCTACTGCATTCTATTGTTCGACCAAACTATACATTTGATTAAATAACATTGGTATCAATCTTCCTCAGAATTTACTGTGTTTTCTATAATGATTTCAAAAATTGAAACACTGATGATTAAGATGGCCTGAAGCTTCTATAAAGTTATGGAGAAGAGTTTTGATACGAATAACTTAAGCTCTACAAAATTAAATACCGCAAGCTAACGAGACAAATGTAAATTTTGAATAAAACATGCAAGAGGGTAAGGCATCATGATATAGAACATGCACATGTGCATGTGCACGTGGGCAGCTGTAACCGACCAGCAGTTGGAAAGCCGAAAAAGGAGTGCATCAAAGGAGATTTGATTCATCCGTCGTCTAGTTCAATCCCTCAACTCAATTGTGGAGTGAGTCACCCAGTTCTGCGATGCAATTAGGTCATAGCCCGTATTACATTTCCTTCTTCCTACATCTGAATTTCCATTATTCGGAGGTGTCATTGTCGTGTTCAGTGCATCTATTGATCATCTATTGCTCTTACATTTAGAACAATTATTTGACCAAAAATTAGAATCCAAAATTATTCGGACGAAAAAAAAAACATCAATTTTTTTTCTGTGAAAAAAAACTACCACAAACCCTAATTTTTCAAAGGATTTAAATCAGTGATCATTGTGAGATTTACTTGGTTTATCTGGAATAGAAGAAATAAAATTCTGAAAAATAATGAATTAAGCTCTGTTTCCTTTTTAAATGAAAGCAATGAATTTTCCGTTTCTTCCTATGCCTGATCTTTCTTTCAGTTGACAAGAAACCGTTTCTTTTTAATTCTTAACTTTCAGTTGTGCATAGAATGATACTATCACCAATGAAATCACTGGTTTTATTGTTACTGCTAGCGTGAAGGATACAAAAATGATCAGAATTTGTCACTGAAAAGTTGGAGAAATTCATGAGAAATACTGGTAAATTTACTCAAAAAGTGAAAATAGGTAATCGAGTAAATTAAGTCAAATGAAGTGAACCAGATAATTTAAGTAGAGGTAGTAAATCAAATCAAACAAGCAGGTCAAATAAATCTAAAAATAAAAAGCCTTCGCTGGCTGAATAAAAAAAAAAAAAGAAAAACAATCCGTCAATGAAGCCGTAAACTCTTGCATTTCATGTCAATGTGCCGTGCACCACACCATAAGTTTTTCTTTTTTCTTGACAGTTGAGAGAAATCAATTGCCGAAGAATTTGCAGAATATTAACAACAAATAACCCATAAATAAGTCCAAAAATGAGGACCCATTTCTGATATGGTTATACCGAACCCAGCCCTTGAAGGACATAAATCGGTCAAGGACATATTCGGAGGGTCTATTGTTATGCCACTTTTTTTACTGATGGACAGGACGAATCTGAGCTACATACACCAAATATACCAATTGCATAACATCTTCCCAAATACATTACCAAATTTAACGTTCCATTCATTAAAGAATGATTCTTCAGCTTCATAGGATCGCATGTCTATTATCGAAAAACGTTACTTTAACTTCATGCTGTTTCATTGTTTGCTGCATTACAAATATCCTGCTCTGACCCAGACGACAACAGGAAATAAGTCGGTTACCCAATCCGAATCGTAGCTATATGAATGACTTTAAATGGATTGTTAGTTCTCTTCTAGTACGATTAGTTGCAGAATGGAGAAACTAGAAGTATGTTATAACAATCATTGTGCATATTTTATATATTCTGTAAAGCATTCAAAGTAAAGGTAAACAGAAAAGATATCACATTAATATATGAGCAGAAAAAAACGTGCAAATCTCAGTAAAGTGTTTAAAAAAAATTCAGAAAATCTCACATGTAGTATTCAAAGGTAGAAAATGAATAATAGAATAGTCACTCATTTTTCTTCACGACTTTGCAGGAACAAATTCCCAGAACGAAGAAATGTTGCACATGGAAGAAAATTATGTAAAAAGAAATATAAAGAATGAAATCTCAAAATAAAGTAAACAGAAAGACTCAATCTTTTTAAGCATGGAATAATTTCATCATACATTCAGACGCTATATAAATGAGACCTCATATTCGGACTTTCATGTCTTTACATGTTTATATTCCACACTTGGTCAGGAACGAATTATTTACTTTACTCATACAATAATAGAAAATTCGACAGATGGTGATAAAATAAAAATAATGGGAAGACACTAGGTTAAAGATAACAATATTTTTAACATTATGAAGCGGAAGCAAAAGTGAAACATATATACTTCACAGTATATGATCCATTCGAATTATATAATATCAAAGACCACCTAAATATACCGTAAAATAGTACTCTGTGCACAGTAACACTTCACTGAATAAAATCATAACGCAACACTTTTACCGCAGTGAGCTTCTCGAATGTCTTCAATTAGACCTATTCTTGAACTTCGCTTCTCCTCACGAGCAATATCGCGATAACTTGCTTCCATGTGACGATCGTCAATCATCCTCTCCCTTAACTTCCAACGATTTTTGTCATAGCGTGGATTTATTAATCTTAAATAATATAACAGTTGAGAACAAAAACATTTAAAGAGGTGTAAAATTTAAAAAAATCTTATAAAGTAGACAATGTATGCAACTGGAAACGAGATGGTAATATTTAGCATGAAAAATACCGCAATGTTTCTTCCAAATCGCCGCGTTTCAGATGTTCATCAAATTCGCTATCATCAATGAAGTCATCCATGTCACTATCATACTCTTCATCATCAATATCCTCAACCAAATCATCATTTTCTCCTAGTCGACGCAGCCTAAATACAGACTATATTTATAGAGTAGGTTGATTTCAATACATAAAGTCATAATGGAAAGATAGTCTTCTAAACAACGTCGTTCCTTTAAACGTATACGTTCATAGGCTTTTAAACGAGGAAATGATTTCTCTCGCGACACCATTTGTCTCGATGGAACCTGCAGCCGATTATCGGCTACCCACTGGAAATTTTTTTGCTTTCAAAAAGAAATTACTCCGAAAGTAGTTCCATACATACTCCTCTTCTTAGACAATAGTATTCTATTTGCAAATTTCAAAAGTCATCAATGAAGTCCGAAGAATACTAAATTCAATCCTGTTTGTTCTTATTTACTGATTCTCATTTTAAGTTACGCACAGTATCTAATAGAAGAAAAAACTATTTCAAATTAATTAAAATCAGCACGCCATATTTTCACCTTGCATGTGAATCCTTAGTATTAGATCCTTTCACATTAGTTTTTGGTAAACTAGCTGGATTACCACCTGCCCTGACAGCTGCCTGAGATCGCTCTGGAGGAAGTCTTTGATATCTGAAACAACTGACTTCAGTGAAACAACCTGCATGATAATAAAGTCAGGACATAATCAAAATTTAGACCAAATGAATACGATTCAAAAACATTAAAAATCTAGAAAATCGGATATGAAGCAAAATTAATTCAAACAAACCTGATATCTCCTGGAAGATACCGCCGTGATGGGGATTTAAAAGAAGATGCAGAAGATCGCATTTTCTGTTCTTCGTCATGACTAGTTTGAATATCACTCATCTTTTTTGTAGCATTAGAACTAAATATATGACGTAATGACATTGTCTTCTATGCATCACACTTTATTTACTATTCAACAGTAAAAATAAACCTCCGTTGTGCAGCAAAAGTTTTCTTATTGGTCTCAGTTGCTGGTTTTAATTTGCCCTCGTGATATTTAATTTCCTTAATGTTTCGCCGAAGCAGCCCACTTTTTTTTGAAAGAAGTGGGGTGGAAAGCGGTGGTGGGCTAGGGGATGCTTCGCCATTCCGGATTGCTTCTGCCTGAAATAGAATTCCCCATTCAGAATTTTCGTTAACTTATAAGCTATAGCATTTTGAGCTCGACCGAATGTTAAGTTTTGCATATACAAATGATCCGCATCATCTATCACTGTATGTTCTTCCCATTCACAAAAATAACCAATATCAAGGATTAAATGAAACTCAAGGATTGTAATACTTATAACACTTTGGACATTTTACTGAATATTGAAACACGAAACTAGTTCCACTACAATGAATGTCACCAACTTTCTTCATTAAGGAGAAGAAATTTGACTCTGATGGAGGTAAGCGACGTTTAACCACAATGTTCGCATCAATTTTTCTGGATTTACTTTCCAAGACACAAGACGTGGAAGGCCCCGGAGAATCCTCCTTCCTAAAACACGAAAGCACTTCGGAATTTTTTTGCAGATTCTGAAATTAATATTGAATAAATAAAAAAATAAGCAAACGGCATTTTAAGATTATTACTTGCTTAGATATATAGTATATATACGCAGATAGAATGAACTCACGTCAAATGTCTCAAAGTATTCTTTTTGTTAATGTAGACTCTATAAGGACCATTTCCGCAAGATTCTGCACTTATTTTCTCAACTACCTTCTTCCGTTCCAAAGCCTTCACAACAGTTCCACGCAACTTACAGTTGAGACGACCAACTTCTTCCTACAGAAGAGACACAGAAAAGTGTGCTCAAAAGAACACATTATAGAAAGGGGAGAACTTCATAAAGAAATACTGACTTCATGAATATAAATCAATAATTATATATTACACATTCCGATGCAAATGCCACATTTCTTAATAACTTATACTTAAAACTATAAGATTAGATTAGCAATCGACTTAAATGGTTTAATGATAGGCAAGACAGACCCAATTCACAGACCGAGGATGAGCAATTGAACCCATGTGTTGGTAGTACCATCATAAAAAGATTAAATGCCGCATAACTCACTAACACTGCCTCATGTAGGGAAACAGTTAACACAGTTTTTATCAATTATACAGTTACACATGAAATTGACCTTCTCTTTGATTTGCTGCCTTTTCAAGTGTTCTTCGTGTTCGCGATCATTACCATATTTTTGTTGTAGTTCAACTGCAGTGCTACCAAACTGCTTAGCAAGCTTTTTATTTGCCTGAAGAAAAAAAAAAAAAAATAATAAAAAATGAATCCAATCATTTCAAAAGAAACGAATACGAATTCCTTCGCCCAGATGAGAGTTACAGAAAGTAAACCATTGCACTTCTGATTTGATGAAGCTCCTCAGAATTAAAAAAAAATCCTAACCTTTCCACCATAACTTTGCAACCTTAATTTTATAAGCTCCTCTTTTTGCTTCTTTTTTTCAGTTAAAGCTTTCCGCTTCTCTTCCTCCCTTTTCTTCAGAAATAATACTATTCTGCTCTTATCAACAACCGAATCTTCTTTCGCTTTTTTCTTCGGAATGACAAACTGAAAACTTAGTTCATGCAATGCAAACAGATTCACTTTTACATAAACTATTCTTCAGTGCTATCTATCTACAGAATCCTTAAGAAAAAAAAAAAGCGTAAGATAAAAAATTTGACCATACAGATAACACTACAGCTTTAAAGCAACTAAGGACGACAAGAATAATGAGGTCCACCAAAATGCGTGATTATGAAATATGGCTAAAATCAGCTTCATAATCTATTCTAATCACTTTAGCAAGATGCGTAAATACCACCGCCCCAACAGCTGAGTCGTGATTAAGCATTAATTCCGAAGCTTCGATCAGCAGCGAAGATACTGCCGTCCGTCGGTTACGCAAATTTTATAACTCAGAAAAAAATGTAATTAACCAGATGGTGAAGTAGGACGTCTTACATCGCACAGACAGAAGTGGGACTGAGACTGTTCGGGGTGATTTCTGTTGCCATGTGGGAATATGTTGCATGGAATCAATGAGAAGTTCAAGGAAAAATTCCAGTGAATGAAAATTCATTCAGTTCGCTAATTCATTCTATTTAGGTTCCACTCCCAGCAAAATGTCATTTCTTAAAAAAGTGAAAAAGTGGAGAAGACCTGCTCAAGTACAATAATATCATTACTTCTCTCGGTAAGATTTTGCTTCATCCAAAGAAATGGACTTATGAAATTAAAATCAAAAAAAAAAAAACTCAATAAGTGCCATACTCTATCAGATATCATTTTGTCCAAAGGAAAATGTAAGAAAAGCTAAAATATAAAAAACAAATGAACAAATAATGAATAATCTAAAATACTTTCGGTTTCGGTTTTTCGAGAGGAGGCTTTACAACTTTCAGTTGCTTCCGTTCCGCAGCCAACCGCACATTCATACATTTTTTGGTCATTTGATGCGCTTCATCGATCTTCTTGATTTCTTTACTCGCATTTTTAGTATTACTGCTTGCTTGTCTTAATATGTCATCAAATAAATCCATAAATAACGACCTACTATATCATTACCATTAATCTGAAATTATACGTACTTAGTGTCTCCTCCTCATATTCCTTAGCGCACTTTGTCTAGGCAACATAGGCACAGTTCCTTATTAGAATCCACGAAATCAAATTCAAATCTATCCCCGAACAGGATCTGGTTAACCCTCACCAAACATACCGAAGAAAGAACATACCACAAAAAATGAGAGTCAGTAAACATCAACCACGGAACACCCGAACAAACCGAGCTGTCACGTTATAGCTAACCAGTCATTAATTCCTGGCCGTTCGATGAGACGTAGCGCAACGATGTCTTCCCAAAATCTGAACAACTTCCTTACCTGTTCCGTACTAAATTTTTAGTGAAATCTAAACAATATGTTTTCAGTATGGTTGCTAAGAAGTGACTGCTTTGTAATCTCGTCTTAGCTATCAAATGAAATCGTATTGCCTGAAGAGACGAAGACACAGAAGTTGAACTAGTGAAATCTTAAAATTTATGTGTTAATTTCGCGTTCTATTCAGAACTGCGACTTATGAGTTGAATATAGATCTTTGTTTTCCTAACTGATAACTATTTATGGCTAAGAAAACCATGAGAGACAGGATATGATAGTGCCAGTTTGGAATAGTCCCACTCAGGTCACGTCAGAGTCATAGTAGCATGTTTCAACTTAAACTTATTTGTTTATTTTCTTTAGTGATTTTTGTTTTCAATTTTATTACCACTAGCAGTTGCTCTGCGTGTATTTTTTTTCGATTTAAGCAAAAATTTGCACTTCCAACTAATGTAGAACAATATGGCGGAAAAGCCGATAAAACTGAATGTGTCATGAAATTTTAAGATGCTGAGATTCACGCATATGTCAAATAGCCGTCAAACTGAAAACATGTAAACATTATAAAATGTGCAAAAGTTTTAGAAGATAACTTTTTGCCTTGATTACATTAATTAAGCCAGTAATGCCTAAATCTTGCTGCCAGACATATTGGTTTAATTATACGTCCAGTATCAATTCACCAAATTCAATTTTTTAGTTACTTGAAAGATAAACCAAATAAAAATTTAACACGGAAGCGAACTGTTTCGGCCATCAATGCAAAATGCAACACTGATAATTTAAATTCAGTCTCACAGAAATCAAGTTTTGAATTTTAAGTAGTTCAAGTTGTTAAAGGAGTATAAAAAGTAAAAAAAAAAGAAAAAGAAGGAAAAAACAGATTTGATTTTTAGGATCAATACAATTATAAAAAGTAAACAGTCATCGTTCGCAAATTGTACCATATTTTTCCTTTATTCTATTTTTTTTATTTTTTTACTCCTTTTTTTTATTTTTTACTTTTTTTACTATTTCTCTTTACTTTTACTCTATTTTAACAAATTAAGCATAAGATAGAAGCTAGCAAAAGTCAACTTTTATATTCAAATTCTGACAGGTTACTACTTTACCGTGCTCTTTAAACCGATCTAAAAACGATTCATTCAACTGGACGTGTAACATCCATCTGGAAAAATAAAGAACGCGTGTCAAAAAAGTGTAATTAGCAAGTAGCAGTAAGGTAAACATTGAATAACTTAAAATTTGAAATAAAGGATGAAATCCATTATTTCGTAAAAAAAAATGCATTGCTAATGCTGTTCTTTAGACACCGTCATTTAGACGCAAAGCGAGAAGAAATTATATTAAAATAAGTGATAAATTGTTGTTATCTTACGAGTTTAGAATTAGGAATGATAAGAGGAACCGTTTGCAACACCCAGCTAATACCTTAGTATAATTGAGGTGTTCAAATCGTACAGATGAAAATGCCGCCAATCTAAATCAAATCCTAAGACTGAAATAGAAATTCAAATGATTTGATTTACAATCTGAACAAATCGATGAATTAAAGTACATGCATGTATTTACAATAGAATTCAAAGTTTAGCTTTAGGTAATACATATAATGAATAGGTATAAAGAAGATTGAATCAACAGCCATTATCCAATCATTCGAGATGCCTATTATCTATGATAATATAGTCAAATCCTACTGACTAAATTTTTCCTTTTTTTTTTGGAATAAATTTCCCTTTTCTTCTTCCTCATTACATTACAAGGCACTTGAAGTTCACACTTTCTGATACTAAAGCGCTAAGACACACTTTCAGATTTTAACCATATATCCTTTCATTAAATAAGTAAGAGAAACAAAAAAGTTAAACATATAAATTAAAAGTATTTGCTACTTGTTGATCACCCTCAATTTCCTTCTGAGAGAGTTGGAATGAAAAGGTTACTTGGAAAAAGTGCATTTTAAGCTTAAACATTATATTAATCTTGTTATATAACTGTTGAAATTGGGTGACAGTTTAATCTCTATCATCACTGAAGGAGATCAGATGATCTTATGGATGTTTCAGCTCTCAGTGCAACAGTAAGCTCATTCGATCTGACTTGTGGCATTAGCAAAACAATCTTAGTCAGGTGACAACTTTCTTTACTGCCATATCTGAAGCCTCCAAAGTATGGGAAATAAATAAAAGTGTAATATTACAATGAAAAGTGTACCGGCATTATCAGCATCAAGCATTACTTAATAATTGACAATTCGTATCATTAATGTGAGAGTAGGAAAGTCTGTCTATGGAAATTTATGGAAAAATCGTCAGCTGGTTTAAAACTATTTATTATTTCACTTTAGGAATATAGCTAGTATTTCAAGTTTAGAGCTAATGATGTACCAACTACAATTCTAGAGTTTTACGATCCAATGGTAAACTTTATCAAAATTGGGATTAAATACTTTTTGTTTTTAAGTGGCTTTTATGTAAAGCTTTGCCGTTGCTCTGATTGTTTTCCATACTTTTGAATAACAATTCTCCATTTAATACGAAAGCTATTGTCGTGAGTTGTAAGTGAACTACTTCTAGCCTAGAACTCTGTATAGTTTTAGGTCTCCATTTTTTTCCAATTTTATATTTTTTACTCATTTCATGTGAACTTGAAATGCGAGTTAATTCAATAAAAAATAAAAAGTGTCATTAGGTAAAACGTGATGAGGTCTTTCCATCAAACTGAAAGATTAATGGCATCTATAAATCAAAAATTATTGACATTACCTTTTCCTTTCCTTCTTCTTTCCTAAACTAATCTTTATAATAAAAACTGACCACACCAGCAATTCCTTATCACAAATTGGCAGTTTGCTTGGTTACCTTGGTTTAAGCGTGACTGGATGAAATAAAAACAATAAACTTAATTTTGACAAGTAGTGGTACCTGGATAACGCATGACGATGGCCTAATAGTAAGGGGAAAATTCACTCTATTAACTCGAAGTTCTTAGAATGGCAAATGTTAGGAAATTATTTAGCGTACGTGAGAAGGATTATTGTTGATAAGGAAGATTCAATAATCAATACAAATAGCGCGTGACATGGAAATGTTCAATAATTTTACCATTTCTCATAGTTATCTCTCCTCTTCCGTACACATTATTAATTCGATGTATTTCGATATAGACGGAAGCAAATCTTGAATTATTGAAGTCTTGATCAGAATTGCTCATAAATTCTGAAAACCTGTCATGTGACAACTCATGTACATTCAAATACACGTGTATGAAATTTTACCATTGGCTTAGTAGTATGTGAATGTTCATTCAATGGAAGATAATAAGTTTTATATAATTTAATGGGTCACTTGTAACTCCGCTTTTTATCCCTTTTTCACCACTTTTATTGATGCAGTTTTGTTCACAAAGATTTCGATGAATTTATTAATTTGTTATTCTCGGAATTGTTTTGTGAGGTCTAAAAAATGATGGACATTTGAGAAGCGAAAATATGCAAATGATGTTAGACAAAGAAAGAAAAGTATGTAGTCATCCAGGAGAATGCAACATTACTTTCAATCCTGTTTTGTGATTTGCCATTATTGGTATCACAATGACTGGTGATAATAGACATTGTTACCAGATGTCTGATATTTACGCAACTACCACAATAAAGCATAATATTGTTGACTTTCGTGTACTGGTATTTTGCTTTTATCTTGTTGTTATTCAACCATTGTTATATCAATGAAGCCAGCATACGTTTTAAATTCTAGAAAAGCAGCATTTAGAAGGCTGTATGGATTCAAATTGAATTTTAGTTAACAGTAAATTTTAGTATTAGACATGTCAAAATTGTAATGCATCTTTTTTGCTTGCTTTGTTATCATGGTCAAACATAATCAGTTACCTAAGTGACCAATATTATGACTTCAGTGTATGTCCTGTTTTTTTCAACAATTCACATTCCTGATGACAACTGACCAATAACCTCACTGTTTTTCGGAATTGAAAGAGACTGTGGTATCTGTCTGATCAGTCAGATTGTAATCTGGAAATAATTTTAAAAGACTTAATATTAAGGAGAACTTTTTTCAACTTTCTTCCGTATGAGAAGCTTATGAAAAGCATTTCTATACTAATTAGTAGAATAGTTCAGGTTATATCCATAGCAGTATCCATTCTGGTACAATTCATATTATAAGACATTATAGACAACTGAAAAAGTAAATCAATAATTGTATAAACAAATGATTTTGTCCTTGAAAAAGATTGAAACAGCGCTAAGCTTTATTTATCATAAGAAATAAAACATATAACTGTCGTACATCCGCCCAAATTGATCCTTAAAAACGGCCTTATCATTTTTGTGCATTTCAATGTTTAAAAAAAAAAAAAAAAAAACTGCCATTATATGAGTTATATATCATTCAAACATATCATAGAGGTAATAAATGTACCTTATGGTGCATTTTTCGATGCAAACAACATTTGTGGGAATAAAATATGAATCATACAACTAGAAAGAGAATTCTCGCAAGCAAAGATTGATAATACGCAATGTTAGATGTTACAAAAGCTTTTTTATAAGTTCTGGACTGCATGAAATATCTTTGGGTGATCTTCTAGTTGGAGGGTTGATATTTTTCAGGGAAAATAAATAACCAGAAAAACTGTTCTAAACTAATATTTGCTTTATAGCCAATCTGTAAGTCTTCAATCCATCGGGAAAAAAACTTTGGTGGATGTGAAGAATTTCTTGAGTAGTGTTTATTTATTGCCTGCAGAGTGAAACTTTCATGTTTTCGGTGCAAAACTTAATAAAGTTGAAATAAATTTCTTCAGATAATGGCAACTAAACTATTCCTGTCAAAAAAAATGCCAGAGTTTTTGCCATCACAGCAATCGAAAACTCCAATCAAAAAGATTCCAGGAAACCAATCAACGGTACAAATGATTTTCTTAAGATTCCTTACCCATGTTCTCAGAAATTAGCTTATAATTGTTAACAGTGACTTTAGATTAATGAATCGTTAGATGGCATTGAACAGATGAAAAGGAATGAAATCAGAGCTAAATTTGCCAGAGCGATGAAGGAATCGTTTCAGTGTGTGCGAAGTGATATTCGTGATGAATGGCACACTGAAATTACATCGAAAAAGTACGCCACAGGTAACAAATAGCCATTGATTGATTAGTCGAAAGTTTGCTGATCGAAGATTTCCTGTCTTTGATAATTCAATGAATTATGTAAGAAGAGATGGGAATAAATAAAGTTTGGTTGCAAATGTTTCAGTGTTATCTATGAGTAGTATAAGATGTCGATTATTTGTTACTTGACAATGTCTGTCTTTGGTCTTCATTCTAGGTGATTTGCTTTTTGAAGGACGCTACAGCTCCATTGTGACAGCCAGATCCTATCCAGCCTTTAACGGTTTCACATATGTGGAACCTCGGCCCTGCGTCATCAAAACGAAACGTATTGGTGCTATTTTGGATGACATATTGTATGATCTGTGGGATATAAGGGAGACTTTTCAACAGAGGATTTCTCGACTCATACGGCGAATAGTTATGGAAGTTTACATTCTGAATAGGTATCACTTTTAAACTAACGATTATAGAATTATACGAAGGTAATAACCTTCAGTCAATGTTATCTCTAGAAAGATGTTAGAACTATTGCAGGAATATCGATCAATTGTGGAGTTTAAATCAGAATATTTGTTTACCTTCGTTTTGCTAAATATTACATTTACATGAGACTGCCAATACTGTCAACTATAAAGACTAATATCAATTCCAATTAAAGCAAAGCTAATTTGAAATGGTTGCAGAGTTCGTCATTCGAATGTAATGCACGCTCATGCTACAGTAGTCACAGAGCATTCGTGTTGTTTACAACTGGTTCTCCCTCGATTGTACCAGTTAGAACAACTAATTGATAAATACCGCCGTGATAAGGAGGGAAAGGTTGTTGTACTACTTCGGAAGATGTGGATTCCGGAATCTCCGGAATTACTTTCCACAAATGTGCTCCACACAACGATGAGTTTATGTCAAAATTGCATTATTCAGTAATGATAATTAACAAATCAGCAAACAAAGTTTCATTTTTAGCCGATGAATATTCGCATCATTGCAATGATTGTCCGGCAACTTTGCAGAGCATTATCTTATCTTCACGATGCAAATATTATTCATAAGTTTATCTTCTCCTCTTCATTTTCAACAAAGTTTGAAAGGATTTTATGTTTTTAAGTGAAACTATTTCAGTGATATTCAACCGGAAAACATTTATCTAACCCGTGGTGGTACTGTCAAACTGAGCAATTTTATCAATTCACGGATGATTGTAAGCGAACGATTGGCTGAAAGATGCCGCACCCCTGATGGTGTTCCTGATTATATGTGTGCTGAAAAGGTCAACCATTTATTACCCCAAAGTTAGAGAGGAGCTACTTCAAAAGTGTCGCCGTTTCCATAGCAAACATGATACCAAACATGACACCTGTCTGAACAATGTTCATATACTGCGTCTTTAGGAATATAGCAGTAGTACTGCTATATTCAAGCAGTTGCTGAGTTTCTTACTATATGTTAACATATTTTAATTGTTTGCTTGCTGTGACCTATGAACAGTTCGATATATTCATATTGTTATAAAAACTTAAAACGTTCTATTACGAAGAAAGTACTGTTTGCTGAGAATTTTTTGAAACTTTTGAAGTTTTAAAAATATAGGAAGGGAATGTTTGACGTTCTGTTTTAGCAGTATAATTTGAAACGTGTGACAACCGTAACAGATTATAAGAACTATTCGACTTCAGCGGATATCTGGTCATTGGGTGTGCTGATACTTCATATGGTCAGCTATTACCCCAATGAGAAATGGCATCGTTTACCTCGCATGTTCGCTCTCCAAATGGAAGAAAAAAGAATGCCGTTTCGATGGATGATTAATGATATGATGGTGGCTCAACTTTCCATCCTACTTATGGATAAATCTATTGTCCTTTTGTAAAATATTTCAGTCTTTGGGTCAAACAGATTCTTCTTGAATATTATGAAACAGTTAATCGAGATGTGGAATTTCCAGCAACTTTGTGTACGAATGACACAAAGCGGTGATGGAAATTTGAAGCAATATCTGAATGATACAATGCTCAACTTGGATCCATCAGCACGTCCGACAGCTAAACAAATTTTGGAATCACATCTGATCAAAAAATGGTGCAATAAAAGCCTCGAACAGGTTGTTTTAAGAAACAATGCACACAAGTTTGTATAGATAGATTAGTCATAAATTTCATGTGCTTATATATTTTAACTCTTTCTATCAAACAGTTTTTTACATTTTTTTAAAGGATAAAAATTATTTGGTGAAACGTTTCATTTACGAATTAGATTGGCAAAATCGTTCCAAACTTGATGCTGATGGTTACAATTATAATTCATGTGAAGCGGTTCGTAATTATCTAATTTCTCGAATATATTTTGGTCAACAATATATCCAGCTAAAGAATTGTTTTTATTTCATTTTGATTTTGATTACTCATTGATAGCTGATAAATGTGTTCATCTTTTCCATGTCATTTTTTTGCCTAACCTTAAATCAATTTTATACTCCAAGCTCTTACTGATACAAAAAATTAATTGAAAAAGGCAGAGAAAGGAACAATTCTTGACGATACATCTATATTTGTGCCCTTTCACTACTATTTATAACTCTATATGGAAAAGAATTTTTTCGTCCTTTTGCTGTAAATCAGTGTTAATTCGATCATCGATCATTTGACGAGTACTATCATTGAAACTTGTAATTTCATCCTGTTAGAGAATCTGATTGCCTAATCCTGAAAGTTTACTGCAGAAAGATATTCCGGCTGATTTTTACTGGGATGAGACATGGCGAAAACTTGAAAAGCAATCATTTGCTTATCGGTTGTACGTTTATGATCGAGATAATTTACGAGTAGGAAGCGATATTGAGTATGTTTATCTTCAGTTTTTCTACTATTTCTCTACTATTACTGCTATTGGTTCAGTGAAAGATTGAATTTTGATAGTTTACCAATAAATTCTGGTAATTTCTGGTAATTTCAAATTCTTGGGATGCAGCTTTCTTATGCTTCAGCCAAAGTTTTAGACGATGTTTCACTCATGCTGATAATTCACTGTTCCAAACATTAATGCTTGCTGTTGATGATGATCACCTTGAAATGTTTGACGTGATACCTATTGATCAAAATATTCGAAGTCTATGTTTCTTGCTGATGAGAGCTGCCAAACAACACCGATATAATCTTGGTAAATGTAAAGCCGAAGGTATGTTGTGTGGAATATTTTGCTTTTTTTATCTACTTTTTCTTTGATTTTTGCATATCAGTTCAAAAAAAATTTTTGATTTCATATCTTTGTCTTTGTTCTTAAAATTTGAATCAAATGTTTAGTGTTATCAGACTTATTTGGATATAGGCTACTTTATCGGTATCTATTCCTGAAAATATTTCATCTTTTAATAAGTTTATAAAATCATGCTTTCAGAGGTAATATTTGATCTGCCACCGTCCTTGCATTGCGACGTGCGTTCGGCAAAAATCATTGTTTATTTTAAAGATTAGTCTGAAATCATCTTAATATATGGTAATAAAACTGGAAGGCAGCTAACCATGTGAAATGACCAACTACTTCCATTATACGTAGTGCGTATTTGTGTTGTTCTATAACAATTAATCAAATTCTTTGTAGATATATTTAAATCTCATTTATGGATCACCACGTCATTTTAAGATTTTCTGTGTAAAAATCTATGTGTATATTTATAGAAATCCTTCGCTTCTTTCTTCATTTACTGATTTATTCATGTAACTTTTCTTCATATCTCTATTTACATTTTATTTTTATCATTCCTTGATGTGTAAGGTAAGTCTTTGATGTATGTAACAAAAGCACTTGGCTCCATTGTGACAGTACAAGTAAAGTTACCCCATTTATCTAAACTATTTACAATGTATTTTTACTTTATAATGAATAAAATTGGTACCACGTCACTTTTTTCTTCTATTTAAGTGACAGATTAGAGATAAGTTTATTTCTACGGAAAGAATAGAAAATTGTGCGCAAATATAATGAATAAATGAATTTTTTATATAATCACAAATTAAGCATGTTTGAATTAATAAAATAGAAATTAAGCGAAAACTAATACGATTTATAAATTGTTGGGTTTAATTTAATTGCAATAACAGATATATTAGTTTAATCTTAGAAGACCAAGAGTAAAAGTTTTTGTTGACGTAATGTCTCAGCAGGTAATTTTGATGATAGATGGAGTGAGGAGAAAACAAATTTCTGATTCTTTATTCACAAAATGCTGTATTTCCGGTTTTCTCTAATAGATACAGATATAGAGATGTATAGTCATTTAATAATTATCTACATATTTCAATCAAAACAGCAACAAATTTTTACTTCAGAAAAGTTAGAAATCTGAGAGTTTTTTTTTGAGGAGTGTGGGCATTAATAAAATTAATAAAAATAGCTCATTTCTGATTTGTTTATTTTTTTCAATGTAGGAATCATGCACACTTATTCCCGACAAGATCGTTTTCGAAAAAAGTTCTGCACAATGTTTTTTTGTTACGATGTTTGTTTTAGTTACCTATTTGATTATTATTTAATTTCAACTCCCAATTATTTCAACTGTCCTCTTGTTGAAGTCATCCAAAATTTAAAATATTGCAAGCCATCTTTTCAATTCTGAAATGGACCGTACTAATAGTAGTGCCCAAAATAAAATAGCTTTCTGGATCTATTATTTTCGGGCAAGCATAGACAAGTTTTTAAGGCTCATTTATTTTTTAGCAGGTGCTGCTCCAGTACAACTTCTCCTCTTGTATTTGTTAATCACATAACAGTTAGACGAGTATTTTACAGCTAGCTGATTCAATTACTGAAGGTGATTGATTTCCATCCATAAGTTTTCCAAAAATAGCAGGTTTAATTCTGCTTTTTTTTTTTCTCTCTCTCACACAAATAGCTAATATTGGTGCAGTAGTAGGTTTTTTTACACCACTCACTAATTAAACAAAATTTAAATCTCCTGTAAACAAACATATGGTATTGTTATGAGAGATTGCATCATTGCATGATCTCCCACAAATTACATTTTCATTCCATCTCCTTCCAGTATGAACATTTATAACAACTATGCCTACACCGTTAGTTAATAGACTCTTTCAGTTTTTGCACAATGTCATTCATCATTTGGTGAGAGAATGAGCTAAGGATGAGATAGCTGAAATAGCAAATTGCAAAAAAGAGAAATACATTCCTAAATGATATGAACTAGTTTGCAAGTGTTAAGTAAACAGAGAATTTCGGATCCAACCTTTGGTTGAAAGAGAAGGTATATATTAGATTAATTGCTATGCTGTAAAAATATTCAGCCAAAATACTGATTCTAAAAGAGATTCTTAATGATGTTGCTGAGGCTAAGTAGAACTGCTAATGGATATGGCCCGACAGTGGTTTTATTTAATTTCAGTTTGCAACGAATTTTATTAATCTGTTGAATATGATTGCAAAGATCAATACCAAATTATAGAGTGCCTCAAATTTCGATATCATTTTCTTTTCCTTCACTTCGAACTTGGTATCACAATCAAAAATTTAGTTCTATGAGTCAAAAATATGAATCCTAACAAGTATATACTTAATAGAATTGATATGCAGGTGAACAGTTTCACCTAGTCTCGCTTGTAATGAACAACCAAATTCGAACAGTTAATTTTACCTAATTTTTAGTGAAAGTTGGTTTTCATCAAAAAAGATGAACAAAAAGTGGTTTTAAATTAACCGAAATCAATCGTTTTTCAATTTCCAAAATTTCGATGTAAAATATACTTTACACTGTATTCCCAAAGCTCAGTTTAACAATACTCGATCGATGAAAGTTTGTTTGATATCTCTCAATCATGTGTATAAATGAAGTAACAAGGAAATAAAAGTGGGTAGCAAGAAGAAGAAAGTGGTAGGTAATATGAGAGTTTTGTTTACTTATAGGCTAGACAATCATCAGTTTGGGCTAACTGGCTCTAAGAAAATACAAACCTTTCGAAGAGCATCATCATCATCCAATTTGTTAGTTTGATCTGCGATGTCGTTTGGAAATTTCATGATTGTCCCCTGACTTCTTTTATTTGACATTTCCTGAATTGTTTTCTTTCCTTCGAATACCTTAATTCTTTTCAAATTTGCCTTCTTCTGAAAAACAGATATTTCTATCCTTCCCTGGTTCCATATATCATCAAGTCTACACTGCTATTTTCTTACAATTAGATCGCTTTTCTTGCTTTTCCTTTTTCTCAGTAGAACCAAAGAACACTGTTGCATCTCTATTATTTCCTAATTCCTATCCATTGTCTTAGAAAAATTTTTCTAGAAGGACCTAAAAGAACTTTTCCTCTTGATTTTTTGCTAATGAATTTCATCGCATTGCTAGTAGAATGCTAGCATTTTGAAGTTAGCAACACTGAGACAGTACTGATAAAAACATTAATGATTACACCATGATGATTGGTAGCAATTGAAATTTTAATTTATTTTTAATTTTGTAAGGAGATCCAATAGCTCATTATTTTTTGATTATCTTTTCGTTGTTTTAATATCATTCCGGTTTGCCTTCTCGTGTTACATTACGGAGTACCAAAAACTTTTCAGTGACAAGGAAAGTATTTACTACTTATTATTGATTATTGCTATTGATTTCTAGTAATGAATAAATATTTCATATATAAACAACTATCTACTACGTTTTATACATAAATTTGAAGTGATCCTATAATGAAATAAGAATGCATCAGAAAGTCTGAACTCAGTGAGACATGGTTTCAATAAATTCGAAGATTTTTGCTGATGTTACCTGTCAAACTGATAAATAGAAAAAAGTCAAATCTTGAACAATTAGAAAAGATTTGACTTCGCATTCCAGAATAAATCACAATGATAAAGGGCTTTCTTTGGAACTATCTCATAATCGCATTGCTTTAATGTAAAGTTAGATCACCGAATTGTGTTTTAATCCTCATTAGACTTTCGTTAATTCAGTTTCGAATTTTGATTTACTATTAACCTGTTTAATTCTTCAATTGAATCTCATAACTTTATTAGCATTGCAGTGAAAATAGAATTTTAAATATTAAATCATAAGGAGAAGTAAAATCCCATAAACTTTTGTGTAAGAAATCTTCTTATTTACAATTTTTTCTTTTTGAAGAAAATTATTTTTTCAAGAATATAATTTAATTGATATTTATACTATAATGAAGGTCTGGGATTTTTCACTACTTTAATTTTTTTATTAAATCTCTTAAATAACTTTGTTTCTTTTATTGCCTTTTCCATACTTTTATTTTATTTTATTCCTTTTATCACCAACTCAAGTTTTATTTCCGTCTATAACTATTCAAAATTAGTTTCTTATGCTATAAGTACAACAAATAGCTTTCAATATGCAAAATTAGGAGCATAAGTATTTCAAAAAATAGGCAGAAGAAAGAGGAACTAAGAATTGCCAAGTGGCCCATCAAAATACGCTGATTCCTTTTTAAATCATAAGGTTTGTGATTTAAGTTTGAAATTGTGGTGCTCAAGTTAAATTTCAACTTTGTTTTGTCTTTTTTTTTGTAAATGAACCTTAAAATTACATTTAACATCCTGTTAAAGAGATTTAAAATAAACTGAACTCCACTGATAAAAAATAAATCAGTTATATTTGTTTACCAAGCTAAGGAAACCGAGAAAGAATAAAAAATTCATTAATTTGGTACAAAATACATGTTGAAATGCAGTTCTCTTATGACTCAAGAAAAAATCTTAATTTCTATAACAATTCTTATACAAAATCTAGAAACTGGAGTGTGTTAATGCTTCGTAAGTTTTGATTGTATCAAATTTCTGCTGCAATGAATGCAATATTTTGTGGGAGTGGGAAAATATTTTCAGCTAGATACGCGCATTAAACCTCGGCAAATAAAGAAACAGGAAGAAACAGATCAAATCAATTCAATTGTGCTATGCAGGATGACATATCCATTTCATTCTAAAGATTTTTTGATTCAGTATAGTGGACCTCTCTTTTCGACTCCTAAAGTCAAAATTTCTCACAAAACATACTCTGCAATACCACCGTATTCCATTCGAAATTTTTATTATTTCAAATAAGATTATCAACTACTTCTAAGTTAATCCAAAATTTTTTCACGCAAGAATTGTTAGTAAAACTTACCAATTTGTCGATATCTGCCAGCTTCTGATGTCAATTATTCCCAACTTAGTCTTTCATCTTTTAAAACTTTAAAATTTTGGAGGACGTCACTATAGGTCAGAAGAAGAAGAAAGATCGCTCTATTTAAGCATCATATATCGAGTGCAATGGTATGGGGAAGGCAATATAAGTGGTTCTTATAATAAAGTGGTTTACATTAAACAAAATTCGAAATTGCGATCTCCCTTACTCATCTTTTCTCATTTTTTCCAAACAGATAATCTTTGGAATTTCTCTTTGAAACTTTGACATTGTTATTTTTTAAGCAATAAATTGATGCTTAGATTTACAGTG